TGTACCGGTAATGAGGTGTGAACGGCTGGCCTTGACGGGTATGAGAAGAGGTAGAAGGCGATATAAGAAATATTGAGGAGAGGTGATTAGGCAGGACATGGTGCCGATGCAGATTTCCGAGGACATGACCCTTGATAGGAAGTTGTGGAGGTCGAGCATTAGGGTTGTAGGTTAGGAGATATGAGGCTAGTATGATAGTGTTTTGTTTTAGGCTGTTGGTGGCTCCAGTTGTGTTCTTAATACTTCATTAGGGTCGTAGGTTAGGCAGTAGTATGTTTAGTGGCCATTTGTGTACATATTATTCCCTTACGTCTGTAGTATTGTGCCTTTGTTACTGCTTAGTATTATTATTACTTTGCTCTCTATTTTCTGGTTATTGCATTGCTAGTGTTATCTTTCTGGATTCCTTTCTTGTTACTGATACACTGTCTCTTTCCTTTTTGTGTCGAGGGTCTACCGAAAACAGCCTCTCTAATCCTCCGGAGTAGGGGTAGGACTGCGTACACACTACCCTACCAGACCACATCTGTGGGATCTCACTGGGCTATTGTTGTTGTTAATATGTTACTCCCTCCGTTCACTTTTATTTGTCCACTATTCACTTTGCACAACCCTTAATAAATGAAGTGATACTCATATTAATTAATGTATAGTCTTAATGTATTTAGAAAATCATTTGGAATGAGTAATTAATGCTAAGGGCAAAATAGAAAAAATAAATTATTTTTCTCTTGATATGCGAAAGTGAAAGTGGACAAGTAAAAATAAAAATCTATTTTAGAATAGTGGACAAGTAAAATGAATAGAGAGAGTAATTACTATAATTTTTATAAATTGTCAATTAAAGTTTATTAGGAAATTTATTTATAATCACCTGATAAACTCCTTCAAAGCTAACCTCATTCAAAGCTTGTTTCTCCATATTGCCCTTCTTTGTCTCCTCTAACAAGTCCAACGCGACTTTCTTTCAAGTTTATAGCATTATAATTTCAAATTATCTACTCTCAACTTTCTCTTTCCTCGTAATATATAAATCCAAGCTCAGTCCCACAGTCACAGTCACACTCTGTTTTCCACTTTCCTTCTCTCATCCTTCAACAATGGCAGCTTCCAATTCCACTTCCTCCATTTTCTTCCTTGTTCTGTTATTCGTCACAGCTCTTTCACGTACAACTCCAGATGCCTCAAGAACAACATTCCTTAACGTTCCTTCCTCCATTCAAAAAACCCTGAACCCGTTCTCAGTGGATTCGTCTCAGGCTGTAAAATCACTAAAGCAAGATGAAAATGTCATTTCTACGTCATCGTCATCTTCACTGAGTCTTCAACTGCATTCTCGAGTATCAGTACGTGGTACTTCACATAGAGATTACAACTCACTTACACTAGCTAGACTGGAGCGTGACTCAGCCCGAGTCAAATCGCTTCAAACTCGTGTAGATCTGGTTGTACAACGGATTACTAAATCGGATCTTAAACCTGTTGAAGTCGAGTTTCAAGCTGAGGAATTGGAAGGGCCGATTATTTCAGGGACGAGTCAAGGAAGCGGCGAGTATTTCTCACGAATTGGCATCGGTCACCCGCAAAGTCAAGTTTACATGGTGCTCGATACTGGAAGTGACGTGAACTGGATCCAATGTGCGCCTTGCGCCGATTGTTACCAGCAAGCCGATCCGATTTTTGAGCCGGCTTCGTCTTCTACATTCTCGCCGCTCACTTGTGAAACGCAACAGTGTAAATCTCTTGATGTTTCTGAATGTAGGAACGACACGTGCCTTTATGAGGTCTCCTACGGGGATGGCTCGTATACCGTCGGCGATTTTGTGACGGAGAGAGTTACCTTTGGAGGTTCTGCTTCGGTTGAGAATGTAGCTATCGGATGTGGACATAATAACGAAGGTTTATTCGTCGGCGCCGCTGGATTGTTAGGTCTCGGCGGCGGCGCGTTATCATTTCCTTCACAAATTAATGCTTCTTCTTTCTCTTATTGCCTCGTGGACCGTGACTCGGACTCGACGTCGACTCTCGAGTTTGGCGGAGTGATATCGCCTGACGCCATCACTGCTCCGTTAATCCGGAATTCGAAGCTCGATACATTCTATTACCTGGATTTAACGGGACTAAGCGTCGCCGGAAATTTGCTTTCAGTTCCTCCTTCAGCTTTCAAAGTGAGCAATAACGGCGACGGCGGCGTGATTATCGATTCAGGAACGGCAGTGACGAGGCTTCAGACGGACGTGTACAACACGCTCCGTGACGAGTTCGTGAAAGGAACGAGGCACTTGCCGTCAACTAACGGCGTGGCGTTATTCGATACATGCTATGATTTGAAATCGATGAAAAGCGTGGAAGTTCCAACGGTGTCGTTTCATTTCTCTAACGGGAAAGAGTTACCGTTACCGGCTAAAAATTACCTGATACCGGTTGATTCGTCCGGAACTTTCTGTTTCGCTTTTGCTCCAACGTCGTCATCGCTGTCAATTATCGGTAATGTTCAACAGCAAGGGACACGTGTCAGTTTCGACCTGAAAAATTCTCTCATTGGATTCTCATCCAATAAATGCTAGTAATAGGTACTCGTAATTTATTTATTTCCTGTTTTACCCCTTGTTAAAAAGTTATTTTCGATTTTAGACTTGTCGGCCCCACTTGAAAGAAGTGTAACGTGAAGAAGTGGGACCGGTTCAGTAGGGGTGGGGTGTGTGTTATTATTGCAATTTCCGTATTGTGTTTTTTGTATAGTAATTTATTGATAGTGTGAGGGGTATTAATGGCAATCAGCGAAAAAGAAGTGAATTTGATAAGGTGGAGCTGCTGATAATTAGTAGTACGTAATTAGCGTAGATTTGATTTGGTGAAGTAGGGATCATGGTTAAAGTTTATAACCTGGTCGGTGCATGTTGGACACGTGGCTCAATGGTTGAAGTTTAAGCAAATCTTTATTTTATGCCGTGATATATGGAGAATCCATGCTACAATGTTGTGTTTATTTCACTTTCTTTTTTGGGGGACTCTGTGCTTTAGTAGGAGTACCAAAGGTGATTATTTCCTCAAATCAAGGCACAGCTGCTTTTATACTTTTGACAGAACTTAATGCACTTTGTTGCACTTGTCTTCTTCGGTTTGCTTATTTTGATGCTTTTCTTATGGCTGATTTATTACCTTTAACTTTGTTTGACGTCATGACTTTTTCTTTGAAAAAAATCTCTACTAGTAGGGCTGTCAACCCAAATAACGGCCTAAGGTTGGGTTGGTCATTGACTCGCATATTTATGGGAGAAATTTAAAAATAGCCAGATTTACAATTGGTCATTCAAAAATAGCCTAATTTTAAAAGTAATCGAAATTTAGTCATTTTTCATGTAAAAATAAATCTGAGCAAAAACACTGTTCAAAACCTGGAAAATACGCCAGTATATTATACTTGAGTTCCAGCATAAGTATGTTTGAACTCCATCATATTATACTGGAGTTCCAGGATAAGTATGCTGAACTCCAGCATAATATGATGGAGTTCCAGCATAAGTACACTAGAACTTCAGCATAATATACTGGAGTTCCAGCAAGTATAATTGTCCAGTATAATATACTGAAGTTTGGAGCACCGGTGCTCCAGTCTCCAGTATATTATACTGGAGTCAGCAAAGTATACCGCTCCAGCATAATATGCTGGAGTTCATACACAAGTGCACCAAACTCCAATATATTATACTGGACCGGTCTCTGTTGCAGCAAAATAATGACTATTTTTCATTTACTTCATAAACGCTGGCTATTTTTGAATGACTAGTCCGAAAATTGGCTATATCGTGGTATTTTTACCATATTTATTGATCTGAGCCCATCTTGACCCAACAACCTCAACTTATTTAAAGTTGGGGTGATTTTTAATCTAAATTATCTATGAGTAACTTTAACAAAATATTTTAGAAATAATTTTTTTTGTTTGATATGTTATATGTGACTATAATAAAAGAAAAAAAAATCTTATTTAGTAACTATACAATTCATAAGAAAATAACACATATTAAGTAAAGTTTGATAAGAGTTTGGCCGGTTAGGCTATGTCCCAAATTTTAACCCATCTTAACCCGTCCAATTATTGACTCATCCCGTCTTGACCCGCCCAAAATTGACCTAACTCGCCCATTTTACACCTATAACTACTACTATTTACAAGCTTTAGTGTCATTTGGGAAAAGGAAAAAGGAAGGCACAAACTCTCCTTGTATCTATAAACTTTAGTGTGACAATTGACCTCACACCTTGATCTTAATTGGAAATTAGAATAGCGGTCATATAATTCTTTACATTTTCTCGATCCCGAAATGGATGAAAGGTTCGAAGAATGAAGGTCAACACAAATTGTAAGTATTAAAAATCTGTACAATTAACGTAATAAAAATGGAGTAAATTTTATTTGACTCCCTAGAAATAGTTATCGTGCTGCATTTGAAGTAGGGGCGGACGTTCGGTATTTTGGTTCGGTATTTAAGAATTTCGGTTCTGTATTTCGGTATTCGGTTTATCGATTGTGTATACCAAATACCGTACCAAATTATTTCGGTACGGTTTGGTATTTCTTATTTTGGTTCGGTACGGTTTCGGTTTAACAATCAATAAACAATCAATGCTAAGTGCTAACAGTGCACATGGACAATTGAAATTTTCACTCTAAAAGAATATGTTTTTCTATATATAACACTATAACATATTAACACTAACAGTGCACAACTGCACAACCACAATGTGCACATGGCGGAAAGCCTAAAACAAGAATAACATCTGTAGTTGCAACTTGCAAAGGCAACCTTGCACGCAAGTATACTGAACTCAATGTCAATATTGTATGTCATACAAACTTGCAAATTTGCAATGAATCTGGCATATACTGTAGTTGGCAAAAGCTGGCCAACTGCACAATGCACATTACTGATTACACAACTATATTAAACAACTTAAAGTCTTAAACACAGTTAAACACTTAACACAGTCCAACAAGTCCAACAACTTAAACACAGTTAAACAAGTTAAACACAGTCCAACAAAAACAGTCTTAACCCTTAAGTATTAACACTTAAACACAGTGCAACACTGCAACTGGCCAACTGCAAGTCTGCACAGTCTTAACACTTAAACAGTTAAACATAGTGCAACAAAAAACAGAGAGGTCATCCCTCAACAAACAGTCTTGAGCAGTAGCACGGCCTCACGGGGCGTTGAGCAGTAGCACGGGGGCATGATTGCACTTGAACCTAAGCTATGTGAATAAAGTGTTCAACCAAAGCTGTTATAACACGACCAAGAGTAAGCAAACTCTTATTGATTTCCCCCGCTTCTCTTGCACGAGCCTGAATTCAAACAGATATAGTTGTTGTAAGTTGGATTCGCTTTATCAGGGTTAATCCATACAAGACTTGTTACCACCATTCCAGAAGATGCATATAACCTACCTCAGCTTGTTTGGGATTGAAACATAGTTGTTATCATGTTCTTTTTTGTTTTTTTCCGGTGCTAATTTGTCATTTAGTTAACATTTATTTGAATAACCGAGTATAAGAGAAATGTAAAAGCTTTCCAATTTTGCTTTTAAAGCACAAATTTGTGATGCTAATATCATACCTCTCGTGCACCTGATCGAGAAATATTTTCTGATCGTGCTAAATCAACAAGATTGAGCTTGCCACACTTAATGAGCTCCTCATCTCCAACAGTCATTTCTTTGACATGAATAGTTATGCTAAAAACAGAGTGAGAACGGCTGCAGAAGAAGAGTATCATTAACTTGTCGCTTAACATTTACTTTTTAAATCGATTAAAGCTAACAGGTCCTACCTGCTGCGTTTGTTCAATAGAGTGTCTGTTGTGCGCCTCCTGGCTGCTCCTCGCTCCAGGAGGTTATAAATGTCGTTTTCACTGTACACAGCTTCTTCCTCAAGATCCCTCACTACAACACAACCTTTTCCATCCTCCATGAGAGATACATGCTTCTTTTGTCTCTCTTCTGAAGACTTTGAGGGCTCTTCTGAAGCTAGAAAGTCAGTGATTTCTTCGTTGTATAGTTCCCAAAAAGTCACTTTCATGCTATAATCTGCATTT